TATTATACTTTTTAACTTTTCACATGTGGCAGACTTGTGTTTACAGATGACTATAAATCCCTAGTACAGAGAAGACCATGTCTTAATCTTGTTTTCAAGTCACTACTTAACACAGAACAAACAGTAACACAGTACAATGTTTGCCTGTTATACAAACTCAATAAATACTTCTCAGTTGAGTAAATGCTGCCTGGAGAATAAAATGGTTAATATAAGAAATCTGTGATTAAAATCTTGACTTAGGGGATGGAATGTAAATATCCAGGACTGAGTTGATGTGATCTTGTTATGCGTCTTTCTATTATCAAGTTAGCTTTCCTCCACACTGATAAACACATGGCATGCTGTAAGGATATAGTGTAAAAGCTATTTTCATATATTTTGCAAAATAAATAGTAGGCCTTCTTTGGAAATTACTTGGGGTTGTTATATGAGAGACAATAAGTCAGTTTTGACATGTCTAATACCATAACCAAAGTAAAAACACAAACCATCAAAGCAACAAATATATTATTCCTTTGTTGTCTAGACAGAGGATATTTATTAGGTCCTCTTATTTTCTGAAGTAAGCAGAAAAGGATGTGGCTTTGCTAATGCTTTGTGATTTCTGAAAGCAGACTACCAAACTGGGGGGCTCTCAAGAAGACTTAACAGAAGTACGTTTAGTATCTCTATACAAATATACATACACATACTACTCTACAGTCAGTAGAACCACATTTAACATAAGTTCCCAATGCTAGTTTGAATTTTTTAGTTAGCTGGCAGAAAAATTAAGAAAAAATAAAGGCTTCTTGAACTGTCAAATGGTTCTGGAAAGAATCCAATTTGCAAAGATGGTAATTTTGTTTTAATACAGAGCACATGATTTTCTTGATGTCAACATGGTATAGGCTCGACAGACCTTTAGTAATTTATATTATTCCCTTTCCAAATAAGACATATATATCAAAATAAAGGAAGTTTTGAGATGCGTATATGACATAGTATATGCAGCTAAAGAAACACATCATGTCAACAGGGTCAGTATGTTTGCCTCTATTTCCTGAAAAAAAAAAATTCAAGGCAAATGGGAAGGACCAGGGAAATAGACCAAAATAGATTTTTCTCAACTTATAGAACACAAGATTATATTCTTCTTTCCTTAAAATTTTTGGTTCTTTAGATAAAATCATACTTTCTAAAATATTGTTTTAAGATTCAGTGATGAGTATAAATTAATTTGTCTCACATTGTTGGTGCTATAAGTTCATGTCTGTTGAATAAATTAAGATAATGTAAGAGAAAATCAAAATCATCACGCACTGGAAATACAACTATTAGTGTTCAATATAACGTCTAGTTTTCAGATCATTTAACTCACTTTAAACATTTCACTTTTAAGAATAACAGAAGTAGTGAGAAGGAAGTTATAAAGATCACTATTGTAATCATATTAAATAAACAGTTCAGTTGGCTTTCTTTAGTTTACTGACATTTTTTTGGACAAAACTTCAAAACAAAATCTCTAAACTTTAAAGAATTTTGCAAGCTATCTGGTTTTTCAACTAGTATAATATGCATGCTTCGACATTAAGTTGAACAATTACTCCTCCTGAAGTATTTCCCAATTTCCTGAAACAAAAATCTGTTGCTCATATTGAGACTCTCACAGCATGTCATCAACTCTTTTTTATAGCACTTCTAACAAAATGAATTTTTTTGTCTCATCCAGGGACCAGTTTAGATAGAAATCTTTATAATCTCAAATTTAGTACTTGGCTTAACACACAGGAAAAACTAAATGCAGGTCAAATGAATTAATTATTGAACAAATGAATAAATAAATGGATTTATATATGTATTATGTATCAAGTTTCAAGGTTCCAAGTTTGTTGATGTGAAGGGTTAAGGCAAACATGAAAAACCTCAACTCCACCATCTATATTATCTTCCTCAGCTTCTCTTTATGCTACTGTTTGCACTTTCATCTTGCTTTACTACTAGCTGTTAATTACTTCTGTGTAGATTTCATATAGATACCTCAGACTAAGACCCCCCTAGAATAAAATTTCGTCTTCCTCATCCTCCAAACCAAAAAGTCCTTCTATATTCCCTTTTTAGCTCCTTTTAAACTTGTTTGTTTTAGTTATACATGACAATAGATTATAATCTGACATATTTATATAAACATGGAGTACATCTTATTCTAAATAGGATCCTAGTCTTGTGGTTGTACATGATGCTGAGATTCACTGTGGTGTATTCATATATGTGCATAGAAAAGTTATGTCAGAATCATTCTACTTCTTTCCTATTTTAGGTTCAATGACATCAGTAGCCTAAATCAGCCTCAGTTTTACATTTGACTACTTCTCTCACCTTCATTTAATAAGTTACTAAGCTGTCTTGTTTCTATTTCCAAAATAGCTTTTATCCACAGTCATTCAAGCAATCAACCTACAGTAATTGAGTTCCCATTTTGTGTTTTGCATATTTTTCTGGTTATTGTGATGTACATAAAATCCACTAGACTCTTCTTTAATATAGTATAATAGAGAGACAGTTAAGTACCACAACAGGTATAATATATGAAGATAAGTGCTTGATTTCTTTTTTCAGTAATACAAGGAAAGATCTTAATTAGATTTGGGAGGAACAAGGAAAGCTGTCTGTATAATATGGTATGTGATGTATAGATATTAGAAGAAGAAGGGCAAGGAAGGCAGAGAGGTATTCAGATGAAAAAAGCTGTGAGATTTAAACAAGTATGGCATGGTCTGGTCATCTAAATAGTTTGGCTGAAGTGATGCTTTTAAAGCACTGATGATAAATATGATTATGTGAATACAGAGAAAAGGTTAGGTCATAAAGACCCTTGTATTAAAAGTAAAGAAATACAAGCCTTAACCTAGAAACTATAGAGATCACTGAAGGATTTAAGCACAAGAGCAATATAATCAGATCTATACAAAGATTATTCCATCAGTGCTTGGCCAAAGATTTAAAGAAATGCCAGTCTGCAGGAAAGGAGAATAACTGTGGTACGTTAATTCTGGGGGAAAAATAAAAAGGGCCTAAACTACAATATTGGTAGTGGGAATGGTTTTTCCAAGAGGGGAAATATTGAGTCAAAGGAGAATTTGGGATAGCAGTTTTAATTAATGGCATGAGGTTGTTCAGGAGTTGGGACAGAAGTTGATGCAAAACACGTTGAACATGAACAGGCAGAGGATACTTAAATGAAGACAGGAAGAAAAATTGTTGCCTATAGGGATAACCTTGTAAGTGGCACATAGTGTTTTCAGACAAAATACAAATGCCCAGTTAAATTTTAATTTCATATAAACAATGCATAACTTTTAGTTTAAATATTTTCCAAATATTATATCTTCATTGCTTCACTAGTTTCCTATTCCTGAATGCTATACATCTCATTTAGATGCTTTGGAAATTTTTAATTGTTCATCAATGTCAGCTCAAGTTATATCTTTTTCTCTCAAAGCATTATGTATTATATAGTATTCACTATTCATTTTTATATTATAAAGGCTTTTATGTGTATCTAGATTTAATTTCTTGAAAGTAGGGATGAAGATTTTTCATTTTGTAGCCTTAGGGTATAGCACAATTGCTCTCTTAAATATAAGAGATAGCAAATATTCAGCAAAATTTGCTGAATAGATAAATGAATGAATGTTGTTTCAGAGCTCTATCAGTTTTTGCCTAGCTTTTTACAGTTTATGTCCATGCCTTCAGTTTTTCCGATCTTTATTTATTTATTTTTTTGGACAGTTGTTTTTTTGTTGTTGTTGTTGTTGGTTGTTCAAAACATTACATAGTTCTTGATATATCATATTTCACACTTTGATTCAAGTGGGTTATGAACTCCCATTTTTACCCCGTATACAAATTGCAGAATCACATCAGTTACACATCCATTGATTTACATATTGCCATACTAGTGTCTGTTGTATTCTGCTGCCTTTCCTATCCTCTACTATCCCCCCTCCCCTCCCCTCCCCCGATCTTTAAAACATATGACATATGAGGTATATTTTCAAAAAATAAACCATGTAGGATACTTTACTACTTAAATATATTTGATTACTTTGTGATGCTCATAGGATAAAGTAGAAACTATTCAACATGATAATGAATGTTCTCCACATTTTAATTCCCAAGCTAAGCTGTTTATAGCTTAGACTTGGCAATCAGATCCGTGTTAAAATTCTGGGTATGCCACTTGATATTTATTTAATTGTGAGTGAATAACTTATTAATTTGTAAATGGGGTAATATATAATAATGCTGCTATAAAAATTAAATGACTTCTATAAATTTACTGCTGTATGCATTATACAGTATAGTACAGTTACATTATCAAACACAGCTACTAATTTCTTTTCCAGTTTCTCCTATCCTTCCCCACTTCCCCTCAATTGACACCTTCCACTCCAACTATATTTCATAACTTGCCACTCTTCCAGGATTCATTTTTTCATATCTTTATCCACAATGTATATTTGCTTATAATGCCCAGATTTTATGGTAGCCTGTGTGCAAAGCTTAGTATTTAAATTTTCTATGGGTAATTCCTAGTATATGACACAATAACAGCAAAGGATATTATGGATTATTATGTTTCATTAGCTCTTTTGTGCTATGTAAAGGTTCCAGGATACCATAGGTTTTCTTTTATTTTAATCAGTTATATGTTATTGGCCCTAAAGACTTTTAATGATCAGAAAATTCTCATTCATTATTCATATGCTATGGCTTTTCAGAATTTTTATGTGCTTTTCCATATCTTCAACAAAATATTTTTTGAGTGAGTTATATGAGTCAAAACATTATCCTAATAATAACTGATTCTATATCAAATCAGGAAAACCATTTTCAGTTACCTGAATCCTGACATCAAAAAGTGTCTTAAGTGTTCTGATATTCATAAGTTCCTTTTTCATTTTCCCATTCATTGAGAATTGAGATTAGATATCCATATCAGACTTTTTTTTTACCTTTGGTCCTTCAGGGCCATTTTGTCCAGGAACCCCAATATCTCCTGGAAAACCCTAGAGGATATAAAAATAGAGTTTATTCCATATCAAATTACTTTAAATCTATTAAGAATATAAAAACATCCTTTTCCTTTCATGCCCACTTAAAGCAACTTATACTCTTCAAAAGATCACTATTTTAAAGATCACATTAGATAGTTGTTTAACATTGGAATATAAAACAAAGTATACTAAAACAGAGCTTACTTTATCAATTACACAAACAATCCTCAAACCTAAAGAAAATTCATTGATCCAATGTAAGAGAATGGAAATCTTACTAAAAAAATATTAACAACTTGAATGTGAGGCAAAAAAGGAGTGTGTCATATCCTTTCAACACCCCATAGAAAACAGGGCCACTGAGGATTAGATGAATTTATTATGTTAGATTCACTGTATAATAACTATATGTGAACGTGTAGAGTTTTTGATAGTTTGGTTCGAAAAAAGAACACTCAAAACAAACAATATGGCTTAATATACAGGGTATTAGTAAATTTTGTATCTAACTATCTTATTGTAACATCCCATATTTAATTGTCTATAAATACTCAGCTCCCAAAATGCAATTTGAACTCAGTGTCTTACTGGTTTCATCATCAATTGATAACAAAATCTTTGACTTATGCTCATATTGCACAAGAATAACATTTTTACTTTTTTGGAAATAATACTATCAATCTAAAATTATTTCCAGAAACAGAAGCGAATCATAATGCTAATAAAATCTAAGCAAAGTCCTAAGATGTTACTCTAAAATAGGTAGATTAAAATTCATACTGAAGTATTGAATCAAAATTTGATACACTATGATTAATTTCAATAATGATAAGCTAATAATTATGGTTTCATTTGTATTGATTTTATCACACAGTTGTTTCAGTGTTTCTCATTGACATGAACAAAAGGGGAAAAAGTAAGGAAAATGCAACAATCAAATACAACTCTTTTTTCTTTAGTTGTACATGGAGATAGTACATGTACTTTATTTATTTTTATGTGTTGCTGAGGATGGAATCCAGTGGCTCATGGACGCCAGCAACTTTAAAAGCAAAGAAGGCTGAAGATAAAATATTAATGTCAGCCAGAATAGGTAGCTTAGTTAAGGGATAAATGTGATGGGGGTAAAAACCCAACAAGTAAGATGGGACAGCAAAACTAGTTCAGGGGAGGGGAGGGAAGGGGGGATAGTAGAGGATAGGAAAGGCAGCAGAACACATCAGACACTAGTATGGCAATATGTAAAACAGTGGATGTGTAACCGATGTGATTCTGCAATCTGTATACGGGGTAAAAATGGGAGTTCATAACCCACTTGAATCAAATGTATGAAATATGATATGCCAAGAACTATGTAATGTTTTGAACAACCAATAATAAAATTTTTTTAAAAAAAGAAAAACAAATTTAAAAAGTGATGCTTATTCCTCAAGACTGGATTAAAACAGATATGCTTTGACAGATTAAAAGCCTGATTTAAAACTTGGATTCTGTGGAGAAAAAGTAAAGTCAGGGATACTTTTGACAAAAGAAAAGGTAGTGGTACCTCAAATACTAAGCACCAGATTAGATTTCTAGAAATTTTGGAACAGTTATTATGGATATCCTTAATATAGACTTGTTGATTGCTTCACTAATCACTTTCTCTTGAACACACCCTTCGTTGCTTTATTTAAGGGGGAAAATCGCCATCAACTTGTATCAAGACACCTCTGCTCTAGTTTCTATTGTAAGTGAGTTGTCAAATTTGAACAGAGTATCTTCTCCAGTATGTTCCTCTCTCATTCTGCATTTCCTCTTTACCCTTATCCACAAATTTCCAAGCCAAAAAGCTATACTTCATCTTTAAATACTTCTTTACTCCCTAAGAACTCACAAACTATTCTCAAGTCCAACATAAGCACTTAACCTGGGGTTTTGGCCTATTTTATTTTCCTTATCAGGTTGTAAACTGCTCAAGTACAATATACCATTCACAACTCTATTCCCACCAACTAGGACAAAATCTGGCAGAAATTTGCTGCTGTTGACTGACTGACCTCTTTGGAAATAGAAGACAACATGTCTGATTGCCACTTTTGATCCCTTAGTACTAGTTTACAACCAGTTCAGACCCTGGTTCATAGCATCACCATGGAAAAATTCATAGCTTGTCCATTTTCCAGATGATCCTAGAACACCTTGTCACATCATAATACAAGGAAGTAAGGAAGCCTGTTGTCAAAATACAACAACAAAAACTTCCCGTGTATAAAGATGAAAGGGAGAAAACTCTATCTGGAAATGTAGTTTAAAAAAAGGTGAACCACCAAGCATTTATTTTTCCTTTCCTATATATACTTTACCTTTATTATCCAAATAATAGATAAAAATATATTTCAGCCAATAAATAAAAAATAATAGAGTTTTAAAAAACCATTCATTTTGCAATCCTGCAAATGATGTAATGGATTTGGCACTGAGTTTAAACTGTTACTAACATCACACACACAGAAAAGAGAGATACTAGACATTATGTGCTACTTGATGAAAGAACACACTATCACCCATTTTCTTGCCAAAACAAAGAAACAAACAAACATGAATATGGTCAGGACTCTGTAATATGACAACCAATTTTCAAGAAAAACACAGGACAAAGAATTATCAGAATTACACCATGAGTCCGTAACAAAATTAGACTAAGCAAAACTTTATAGGCCAAGTGATGGGGGAGCTTCAACAACTAAATTTTAAGGGGAAAATTTGGAATGGGGGAGAATTGGTAGATTGAAAGATGTGATGGTTTGGATGTGTGGTGTCCCCCAAAAACTCACATGTGAGACAACACAAGAAGATTCAGACAAGAAATGATTGGGTTACAAGAGCCTTAACCCAATTAATTAATTAATCACCTGATGGGATTAATTGAATGGTAACCGAAAGTAGGGTGTGGTTGTAGGAGGTGGAGCACTGGGGGTGTGACTTGGGGGTATATATTTGTATCTGGCAAGTGGAGTCTCTCTCTCTCAGCTTTCGGATCATCATGTGAGCCACTTCCCTCTGCTACACTCTTCTGCCATGATGTTCAGCCTCACCTTGAGGCCTGAGGAATGGAGCCTGCTGTCAATGGACTAAGACCTCTGAAGCTGTGAGCCCTCAAATAAACTTTTCCTCCTTTACAGTTGTTCTGGTTGTGTCTTTTAGTCATAATTATGAAATAGCTGACTGAAACAAAACATTTAGAAAATAAAACACACATGCCTAAACAATTATTTTTAAGGATGCATACTTAAGTAATAGAATATGAAAGAAAAACAGTGAGGAACTGCTTAATTTGAGTAAGAGAGATGAACTTGTGGTTGGCTGGATTAACTGGCAGTTCTACCTTTGTGGTACTTACCAGGGTATTTGTCTTATAATTATATGTGATATACATGTTTCATAGAGTTCTCTGTGGGCTTTTAAAAATTTTATTTATATATTTGGGTACCAGGGATTGAATCCAGTGGTGCTTAACCACTGCGCAACATTCTCAGGCCTTTTTATTTTTATTTTAAGACAAGGTCTCACTAAGTTGCTTAGGGCCTCACTAAGTTGCTGAATCCTTTGAACTTGCCATCCTCTTGCCTCAGCTTTGCAATTTTCTGGGATTATAGGCATGTGTCACCACATCCAGCTCAATAAAACAGTAAGAAAAATTACTAAGGTGATTTAATAGATTTAATATATGTGTGAATCTTTTCTCCTTATTTTGATTTGCCACGTTGGAGATTGAACCAATGGCTTTGTGCACGATAGGCAAACACTTTACCACTGAGTCACATCCTTTAGTGAGTTAAAATATTAGTAAAGGAATATTAAAAACAAATAAAATTCCAAAGAAAAAAGAGAACAAGATAAAAGATGTCAATAAATCTGATCTCATATTATAGTCAAGTAAGTTAAATATTTTAAAATTAAAACTATATTGAAATGCTCAGAAACACATTACCTTTGTACACAGGATAGCTTAGAAACTTGGCCAAAGAACTTTTTCATTATTGTAAAAATTCATACCTGAGTTATTTCTGAGTAGAGAGCTTGACTTTAAGTAAGACATTTTAAAGTATAAAAACTAGAGTTAACTCGATCAACTTTAATGATAACATATCTACCAAGGAAACTTTTTTAATGCTTAAATCTAGTTCTCAAACTGTAAATCAAACTACAGGACGTGGGCATCTTTGCAAAGCAACAAAATTTCAGAAAGTTTACAGATTAAAAAGTAGAAAATATAATATTAGAATCTACACTTTCTACTTTAAAAATTATGTTGGCATAAAATATATAAGAAAAATAAAAACAAAAATCAAAACAAAAATCTAATAAAGATGCTTTAATTCATTTTTTAAATTCAAAATAACATTGATGTTGACAAGTCAAAACATTTTTGCCCACACCATACTTCAGTATCTTAACTAAGTCATCATATCACAATTGAAAATATTATGGGTTAGTGAGAAAAAGGAAGAACAACCTGACTTCTGGTGTCTTCTTAGTAGAAATAGTGTGACCACCAATTTTTACCAAGAAGCAGAAAAATGAAGTAGCTTTAAAAATAATAAATACAAATGTGTCTTCTATTTTCAGGCCTTTCACATCTGTTTGTAGCACTAAGAGTGATTCAGCATTCTCTCCAGTAAAAACAAAAGTTTTTATTATTTTCTAATCACTAAAGGCTGGAGACTAATTCACATGCATTTTTTATAGCAAAACCTGGGAACCAAAGCACTAGCAAAGTTCATTAGTTTCCTAGGAAATCATAAAAGTAAAATATTGTCTTTCTTATTTGGAAGTAAATAAGAAAGCTCAAAAGTTAGCATCCTAACAGAATTAATATAAGACACTTTATTGCATACATTGAACACGTTAGTAGTTTTCCTATAGGAGCAATAAGGTTTCTGTTTTCTATTGAAATATATAGTCTTTGCAGTTAAAATAGTAAGTGGATAAACAATCAACAAATAAGTAAATACAATGAGTAAACCAAT